GGACCTGCTATTAACATCAACGCCACCGAATAAGATAGCAAATGACTTGAGAACATGAAAAAGGAAAGCAAGCCAAGAGGTTAGGTGTCTTCAAGAATTAAAGCCAGATGTAGAAAAAAGTTTCATCAGCCCCTGAATTTCATGAATTTAAGGGTTTTAAAATTCATATTACTGAAAATATACTTAAAGATCGACTAGAAAAAGAACGGAGAACAGGTGAGCTCCATCTCATTTCCCACCCACCCACCTCCCCAGTTACTGGGCAGAGCGGGGATCTGGAAGTCACACTCAGTGTGAATGCCCCCCAGATGTGTTCTCCTGCCTAAGATGCTGACCAGTATCCTCGGGCGTTAACTGTTAAAATGAAATTTGTAGGAGATCCTCTCTGGGCACGGTCTGGGGGGACACGGCTCTATTCGGAACCATTTCCCAAGAGCGCAAGAAGCCGTTCAAACGCAGAACGGCCCGCACAGAAACGAGCAGCCAGGAAATCCGGAATGACTTCTTGGTCCCAGCAACACAGAGCCGAGAGTGAAAAGCCGCAGCACAAGAACATGCACGGCGACCACCTGGAACCCCGAGAGTCCGCAGTCCCAATCCCAAGTAACCCAATTCAGCAACGAGAACTGCGTGGGGCAGACGGACAAACCACGGGCTGACCTCCTCGCGCCTGGAGCAGAAAGGGAGCGTCGCGACTCCTCCTGACGGTGCCAGAGGCTGCCTGCCTGAGGAAAGGGCACCGGGCAAGGCAGAGCGCGGCGGCAGAGGGTATCACCACCTGGGTGATGGCTGTCGGCTTAGATTGCTCTCCCTCAACGGGATGAATTCAAAAGCGGTATTTTTGTAAAGTTCAAATGCTCTTAATGCGACGGAAATAACTTGCCTGTTTACCAGTAGTAAATTCAATATTCAGGAGCTCAAGATTTCAGCTCCTGAGATACAGGGGGTGGGGAGGGAAGTTAGCGTATGCAACATTCTCCCTAGTCAGCACTAAAATAACAACAAAAATACTAACACTAGGGGGTAGGGGACCGTGTTTCCTTAAAGCATTTAAAGGTTCACAGCTTGCATCACTTTTTAAAATGAAGTACAATTTTTTTCACAGAGGTTATTAATGTAGCCTTAGCATACTGTCTGTGCTTAAATGACTTTACCTAGATTAAAAAAATTGCTATTTTAAAAATCAGAGTAGATGCAAGACACCAGGATCTAGCTGTCTTCCTGGATTTGGTATTTCAAAACTGTAGCTGCTGGTCCACTAAGCGTAAGGCTCAGCTGCTGTACGTACACCACCGGAGCCCGTCCCGCTTCTGGAAGCGGAGGAAAAGAAAGGAAAACAACCTATAACATTCTTACAAAACTCAAGGAAAGTCACATGCACGAAGCAGCCAATTGCTCTTGGTTTCTACCTTATTCCTGTCTAACTTAGACTGTAAATGCGTTAGGAGAAGGGCCATCTTGTCTTTACTGCGCAGCAGTGGGCACAGGCGAGCACCTAAGCAGCATCACCGCTGCAGAGAGCTGTGGGCGAGCAGGAGAGACCTGGCGGGACGGAGGCAGCCGCAGCCCCCTCCGTGCCCCTCGCCCCGCCGCCGTCCCGGAGGAAGCACGCAGCCGCTCACGGGCCCGTCCCAGCAGGCCCACGGCCCGCGGGGACTCGGCAGCCACGGCCCCGCCGCACTCCAGGTGGTACTCCGGAACCAGTCAAGGAAAACAACTTGTCAAATCCTTTAATTTCTATGACACTGAAACAGTCAACAGGGTAAAAGGTATGGGAGGAACAGGGCCAAAGATAAACACCACGTTACAGACGGTAAACAAAGCTTCCTATGAATGCAAAAACTGTTACTTGTACAGTAACCACGACTGTTACTTTTTAGCTTAAAGTGATACGTATGTGTGCTTTACGCTTAGAAGTTCTGCCACTGCATTTAATATTGTGCTACCAACACAGGAAAAAGCCAAGAAACGGCTAACTTAAACACTTAGTTTACATCTATTTTTTGGTCTTGTGTGGTATCTAGTTGAAGATGGAAGCATTTATGTGCTTTTTGCCTCGTAAGAAGTGAGGCAGATGTTAATGTTACTAAGATCAGCTGTATATACCTTGAAGGTATAGACCACCGGACTCTACATGAGTCAAAATACTAGGAATGTATTGTCAATATCCATTAATGAATTACCAGTTGCTTGTATTTAAGTGACCATATGCGTCTGTGAAAAGTATCTAGCGACCTGTATCTCACGTGTAGTATATTTGTAGCATTGTATCCATAAAGAAGTTTTGCATAAGCGTGTCATTTGCAAGGCCAAGGGCATATTTTGATGTGGACAGTGTCACAATACAAACAGCTGATTTTAAAACAAAACACTGTCAGTAGTTGCACAGGGTAGTTCTGAATTTCTCAGCCACCTTGGAAAGCACACAGCACCTTAACCATCCTCCGTATTTCAGTGTAAAATCCTCACTAACGTAGCCCTAAGCCACACACCTCTGACTGCAGGGTCCAGCAGAAGCAGGGGGGGGGAACAGGCAAGGCCAAAACATTCGTTTTGAAAGAGAGTTTTCAAGTCTTGCCTGAAACTTCAGCAGGAACGGCCTCTGCTCAATTAAGTAATTGCCCAGCTCCCTTTCAGAAACCACAGACACAGCAGAGTCCCATCTTCTGTGCTCTTGGGTCACCGATGCCAGGACAAACCTCTCTCCAAAAGCATGAAGAACAAGACCTATGCTGGTTCGCACTCCCTAGATTTATTCCTTAAATTCATCTCTTCGGTGTCACGGAGTGTATTTAAATAACTGTCTTAAAGTTGTAACAGAAATATTTTAATAAAGCTAACCAGCCTCACACACCATACTTCACCAGCCCCAGTAAGACACGAGGACAATTTTGGTCACACAATCACTTGCATGGACAAGTGGATACATTTCAGTTATTTATAACTATAATGCTAATACATAAGGGTACAAGCTCTGAGAATACCTGAATGACACCCCTAATAATAACTCTCCCAATACTTTAAATGTAAACACATTTTAAAACAACTTTTAATTACAGCTCCCTGTTCTTCGTTGCAGAACTTTGACTCAGACAAAAACTCCTCACTAAAATGTCAGCATTGAACTCAAACAACAGAAGAGATGCTTGTAAATTGTAGTGAAATCAAGCAATTTTACTTTTTCTTCTAAGACTCAATACAACACATCAATAGTCAGTTTAATAAGCCTTGAATTTATACTAATCACACAAAAAAAAGTAACTCTCTAGCATCATATTTACTACAGCAATATTTACATTATGCCCCTGTTCAAGCCAGAAAAGGCAGCTGCAAAAAAAACTGAGAAATCCTCATGTATCCTGGAGCTCGATTTTTCAAGCACTCTGGGGCGGGGGGAACCCCAAAAGCGCCCATTCACACACACAGCAGTCGGGCCTACAGCCCAGAGCAGCCACCTCAGGAGAGCAGCCAAGGAGTTTCTGACACAAGGTTTATCTTAGTTCGGAACCACGCTGGAGAGCCAGTTGTCACCGCTTGAGCACGCAGAAGACCTCAGACTACAGACAGACAGACTTGCTGGACAGAAATGGGACACAAACAGGAACGATACCCGACTCGCACTGAAGGCGTCCCCGTTCCAATCTGTTTGGAGGTGACTTGTGGCAGAGCAGGACAAAAGTGCAACCAGATTTTGAATGCTTACTTGAGTTTTGGTTGGTGGGTTTTTTCTTTACTATAAACTGCTTAAAGGATTCCTAAGGCTGCAGTAATGCTAAGAAAAAAGGACGTTACCACCCACCGATGCCATCCTGAATCTAAGGCCTCTGAGCAGTTAAACTGTAACACCGCAGAAATTGATACTACCAAGATTGAACACACAAAAGTTTTACTTACCATGCCACCTATGTCATCTCTATAAGCTTAGAATTTGATTTACGATATCTACACATATAGGCCTATATACATGTCCATGTGTACATTAAAAAACAGGCTAGTGAAAGATACTGGATTATGCCACGGAACAGAAATCCTGGTAACTATAGTATAAATTCAGAGAAATAATTTACTTCAAACTAAAGAAGATTGTAAAAAACTGCAATTGCAGCCTCCTAGGCCTGTGCTACTTGCATTGATAACAAGTACTGCTTACACACAGTAGTACATAAAGAATTTGACAGGGATGTAGTTGGTAGGGTAAGCGACCTCCCTGGCACAATAGCTTACAGAACCGTAAGAGCTGTGACAGGGGGTCTACACAGCTTTTTACAAAGCATACGAGGCTCAGATTTAACACTGGAGTTAATCTTCATCTTGTACTTCACTCTATTCGGTAAGACATTGCCTGACTACCCGTAAAGCAACCCGGCACTTCTAGCTAAGAACAGAAAGCTGAAAACGCTGGCCTTCCAAGAAAGCTTCTTGACATTAGACTACGAACAGCCTACTGTACCCAGCATGAAAGGAACTGGGATCTCTACCCGTTACTTTCATTTTTAACATGTTCTTAGTGGAACTGTTTATCTACTGTCAAGGATACCTACTCCAGGTAGTTTATATTTCCAGTAAGGGTCATTTAGGGCTTCAAGTGTATCTTCTTTTCTTCTTTTTTTTTTTTTTTAACCAAGTCCCAAAGTTATTCTTTATAGCTGTGTCTATACAACACAGGAGGTACTGTGCATTCAAATGGTAGCAGGTTTGTATCTAAAGATATGAGACTGTCAACAAATAAAAAAGGAATGCATTATTCTCTTCAGCTTCCAGTCTTCAAGGCACCTCCTGCAAGAACTCACTGGGAAATAAACAAGCAGAGCAAAAGTTCACTGGAAAGAGAAGAATCTGACACACCTAACTTCCGCAGAAGCACACAGCATCAAAAAAATGAGACAAGGTTGGACCCAAATTATCAACAAATAAAATCAATATAAAAATGCTGATGAGATGACAGGAA